CTGTTTCTGACGAAGGGCTTGATTTAAACGTTCCAGTTGCTGACTATAGATCTCTTCATTGACAGTTCATTGTGGATTGAGGAGTTTGAAATGAATTACTCCTTTGATGTCCCACCAAATGCAAAGCATCACCTTTCTGCGGATGGAGTCCAGGTTTTGGGGTCCGAAGTGGTTTTTTTCAAGGACTGAGCCATTGTTTTTAGCATTTAGTATTCACATAGAGAATCCATTTTTTATCACCGGTGACAATACTGTCCCAAAATGGTTTACGCGCATTACGCGCCAGAAGAGATGAAGCAACGTTCACACATTGGAAATGATGATCATTGGAGAGTTCGTGAGGCACCCAAATACCTTCTTTATAGAGTTTTCCCATATTCCTTAGATATTTACGTATTGTTTCATGAGAGACATGTAATTTCAGGGCCAGTATTGCCTTGGGTTAGACTCAACAAACGTCTTCAGAGCATCAATATCAATTCCAACATGTCGGCCCCTGCCATCACAATTTTTAAGGCTAAAGTCACCTGAACAAAATTTGCTGAACCATCGTTGACACTTTCAAACATTAAAAACATTTCCATAAACTTCTTTGATATTCTTTGTGGCTACAGAGGCATTGTTTCCCTTCTTGTATTCAAACACCATTACATGTCGATTGTGTGTGTTATCGTGCGCCATCACTATAAGGGATTATAAAACTAACAAAATCACACACACATAGCTATATCCTGAAAAACATTATCATTGTCTTTTTTTTACAATCTATTTACCACAGAGCTCACTTTAATTGCTCTCTTGGATTCTAAACTGATAAACTTTTAATTATTAGGTCAGAAGCCTATCTTTAATTAGGTGACTTGAAATAATCCAAATACATTGATGTTACTTGTATGCTGTGGAAAGGAAATAAATTCATTTTATTTATTCCTCTGATTTGTTGAAGTAATTACTTTGGTAGTAGCTTTATACTTTACAAAACTGTGTTATTTTAAAACAAATGGAGACTTACAGTGGACTTTGTTACAGCATGAGCTTAGATTACTAACTTTTGAAACAGTTGTATACAACTTCTAAATGGAGTAGAGAGGTAACTTTTATCATTAAGATATCTACTAATATATTAGATTTAATAAAATATATATCAAACTTTCTTTCTATAAAATAAGCTGTTGCATGATGTCATTAGGCCTGTGATTGTCTGTGCTGCTGTTAAAAATGTGTACTCTTTGTTGGAATGAATAGATAAAAAATTAAACATGTTCATGCAAAGACATTAATATTGGTTTAAATGACAAATATAACCTTCTCTTTAAAGGACAATTCTTATTTTGTGAAACAAATAAAATGAGAACAAAGAAATATCAATGAATCCTCTATCACAGAATCTGGTAATCTGTAAACCAATTATGTGGAACCTAGCTTTCGTGTCAACAGTTATGGAATTATTACTGCACAACAGCATAGTACATAGCTAAGTCAAATAGTTTTTATTTCATTATAAATCGTTTTATCAAAAAATCAACCCACTTAGTTTCAAAAACATTCCATGGTTATCATACTTTATGCTTGAAGTGCTTGTTTCAGATAGGTGTTGTTTATGAATTAATAAGTTTTTATGAATGCAAACACAGAAATGGGAATACAGGCTGAAATGGGTTAAGCGGTTTATTGTCTGGTTATTTTAAACAAGTTCTGTATAAAAAATTTATTTAGAACCAAAGTCAAACATATAGTCACTTTTTAAAATAATTTACACAGTTGCCCCTATTTTGTTATAACATACACAGAAATTTTGTAAATGTATTCCATACTTTTACACTTATAATAACAGGCTCTTATTCCTACAAATATTATTGTTTCTTGCCATCTTATAAATTCTCAGCTGATACGGTTTCTTTCTAACCTGTTAATTTTTCTAAATAACAACAACAACAAAAATATGAAAATATCTCAAACAGAAAGAACTCATCTCATAATTCTGAGTAGTTTCTATATTTACAAGTCTCATTAAATACATTACGACTAACCATTCAGATTCTTTAGCCCCAAAGTATTTGTCAGTAGATAACTAGACAAATGCTACTAAACAATGTCAGTTCAGGCCAAAAAAACAACAAAAAACTAATTATGTACATGTATACCTGTAAGTCACACATTTTACACTATGTACATAGCTGCATATATCTTTACAGTTAGTTATATGCAAGACACTTTGTACATGCATGCATGCATGCATGTGTGTGTGTGTATATCTGATCAAAGCATTTTACATACACAAAAAAGCCAAGTTAGAATAAAGGTATCAGACATATATAAATGTAATGTAAAATCTGGTATATTAAACATAAGAAATTGGGGAAAACTTGAACCCCTCCTTTTTCATATTCATGTTGCTGCTTATTCATGCTGCAATAAAAAAGGGAAGCCAAGCCCCCCCCCCCTTGTTTTGGGGTTTTACACACCCACCATTATCTTGCAATTAGCAACTAATCAGAAACATTAATGGTGCTGAGTAGTATTCTTGGCAGAAACAATCCAACTCACAATTGCACAAGGTTTGTTATATTTCCAAATTGTTACATACTTCATGACTAATAAGCTTCCTTCTTGAAAAACTTGACACATAGAATTTGTCTGACATGTTGTAAGCATTGTAGACCTTTCTATTTAATAGTAGAACAGATACTGTCTGCCATATATTTCTCTCTTCTTTTCTAGAAAACATTTAAATAACATTTCTAATGTAATGAATAACGCTGCCAGTAATATTCACTTGATATTTTAAACTCTTCAACCTGAACTTTTAACATTTTCACATACACTTATTCAGCATCACAGCTAACTCACCTGGGTCAGCATACCCTCCAGGTAATTTCCAGTGGGGTCTAGTGTGGTATTTTTCCTGGATTACCAAAATCTGGTTTCTTTCATTCACCACAAGACCAGCAACACCTGTTGATGTTTTAAACACATACCAATAAAAAGTAACACAGGCTTCAAATTTGCTAATATTATAAACTGCTGCTTATCTTATTTTGGTGATATTTAGATATTATGGCTATGTACCGTTCATTAAATTGAAAATAAATTTATCTTTAGTTAGATACAAATATTTCTGAATTCTTTAAAAGTTAACTGTGCTTAGTTAGATAACCTATGAAAAAAGAATGTGCTCAAATGTAAATGTGCTAACCCCTATATTGGGTAATGCACTACAGTTTCCTTTCTGAAAGGGACCAGATTGGTTTGGCTGCCACCCCCAAGTAGCCCTACACAACACTTGTTTCATATAAGTTGAATGCTGTTTTAAATGTGCACATCCTTGTCCTCCACAGCTAATCAGTTTTTTGTAGTATACACATTCAACAGTGTATTGGTTTTTCAAGTCTATTTATATAGTGAATGCTACAACTTGTGGCATTTTTCAAAAGAGTCAAAGGAGCAATTAAGACATCTTGAATTTACTTCACTCATTCATTATCTTCCACAAAACGAATCTTGATAATTACACAGGTTATTTTGATGTCTCATTCTGCATGTGCTTCTATTTTGTCATGTGTGGGTAACATTATTTGTGTTGAAGCATGGCAAAGTTGATAGCCCGAGGAGTAATAGACGACAAATTGAAACAAGAAACTAAGAAACCAAAACATATGTATTTTATACACTACTTATTATACAAATTTAATCATTTTTTTTTGTTTGTGTTGGACAAAATATAAGTATTATTTGTCATTTCCACAAAAATATATGTCCACTTTAAAAATATAGGTTTTTATATGAGAAATAGGAGACCTAGTATTGTCCAATGCAGTAGGACATCAGTAACCAATGCTATTTGCACTTTAGTATTTTGCACTCACACTGGCTTGGTTATCAGGCTTGTCTTAACAAGCTCTATGATATTGCAGTTATGGCTAGATAAGAATGTCAAAGACTTTTGGTCTTCCTTTCTCATTAACGATACTCCTCCATAACACTTGATACAGCATTTCAAAAACTGTAATAGAGATCTAGGTATTGTGTATGGTTGTAACTAACATTACTGTTTTAAGTCCTGCCTTTTGATCATTGATTTGTGAATTTGAAGAACTGTTTGTATCAACTGCTCTTTGGAGAAAAGGCAGCTAGAGAGTTAGAGAAATTGAATGTTAGGAATTTACTGTAAACCAAATAGATGCTAAACTTGTCAACTGTTGTGCCACAGCTCATATTTGTGGCCAATTAACATTGCATTAGCATAGGCAAATCATTCTTGTAAAATGAGATTAACCCTCTGTGTACCATATGGCATTTGACAAAATGATGGGTTAAAAAAGTTTAACAAGTATTTGGTATTGATTGCTATTATGTTTGTTAGAAAACGTGTATTCATATGTACAACCATAACCAATGGATAAGTTTCAATTCCATAGTAACTGTTTGATCTTAAACTTTATCGAAATAGATGGAGACTAGACACACAATGTTTTGTATGATAACAATAAAAACATGTCACTACAAATTACACCAAAGATTTGTCCCTTGTATTCATGATGTCATTGCAACTTTAACTATTTTTTTTCTGTGGCCAGTGCAATGGTGTCATAGTTCACTTGTAATTTTAGTTATGTCACAGCTCTTTACAAGGAGATTTCTACATAGCAAGATTATAAAACAACATTTCAAAGAAGAGACCCTCAGTATTCTCGAAGAAAGCAGAAAAGCTGCAGAACATTATGTTTAAATTCTGAATTCATTATCCAGGAAAATTCAAACTGATGCCTTAGTCTGCAAAATGATGGTTGCTGTTAAAAAAAAAAGAGAACCTTCTAACCCAAGTAATTAAGGTGGGCATACCTCAAGGTACAGTTATCAAGTAAAAGGTTCAGCTCCCAGCCACTCCTTGAAATCAATGGCTATTTCAATAACATAAATAACTAAAGACAGCCAAAGAAACTGGAATCATATCATTCCAGTGGTCATATATCCTCAAGTCCTCCGATTCAGCTCTATTGTACTTCATGCTTTGCTATGCTTGAATGTAGTCTGAATCTGAGATTCATATACAGTAGGGAGTAAGGAAATTTTAACATGGATGATCTAGGATTGATCTCATCACTCCTTTGTATAAGCTCATTAGAATCAAACTGTAGTGTTAGGCAACAGTGTATAATCGGAGTCATACTAGAGTGTAATCAACAATGAAGGAACTAGTTCCACTACCTGGAAGATTGTGGTTATGTAAAGTGACAAACATTCAGCATTTGTGAATCATAACCATTGTTATCAGAAAACTCAATCTTACCTACACCACTTCCCAGCCATTAGTTTTGTTCCTTCATTGGTCAGTCCAACATATGATACAAAAGTATATAAGCTATATAATTTATATTTCTGCTAATCAATAAAGGCATACTACTGAAAACATTTTTAACCACATCCCAACTTAACAATTATTACCAGTAACATTATCACAAACTCGTAATTATACTACCAGCAATCACATTACTATCAAGTAACTACAATTTCATTTTTTTTTTAACTGCAATACTATTATGATATTTTAATATAGTTATTAGATAATAATATAATAATAGTTTAATATAGTTATTAGATAATAATATAATAATAGTTTAATATAGTTATCACATAATAATATAATAATAGTTTAATATAGTTATCACATAATAATATAATAATAGTTTAATATAGTTATCACATAATAATATAATAATAGTTTAATATAGTTATCACATAATAATATAATAATAGTTTAATATAGTTATCACATAATAATATAATAATAGTTTAATATAGTTATCACATAATAATATAATAATAGTTTAATATAGTTATCACATTAATTACATGCTACTAACCAGTAATCAAACAATTATCAAATAACTATTACACTTTGTTCCTATACTAAAATACATTAAACCTTACCTATATATGTATGAGGGTATGAGGGCAGAAGATTTGGTTCATTTTTAGGTAGCCATTTTATCATCATTACATATGATGGTTTGGCATGATGAAATGTGAACCCATTCTACACAAAGATTGGATAAAAGATTACAGTCACTATTAGATTTTGAAAATTAAAGAGTAATTTATAATGAAACAAAGCTCTACCATATTCCATAAAATAATAAATTATGAACTTTGAAATATTTCATGGATGAACTTTATAAAACAAAGCTAATAACATTTGCCCAAGAACAAATTTTCAAGGATTTTCCAGTACCCATTTTCCAGAGCTCCTGAATATTTTGCCGTTACTATCTGATTTGTAGAAGCATAAGCATTCATTCAAACCTACTAAATTTGCTTCAGTGAAACCATTATTCAATAAGCCTGTGTATGTGTGTGTTTGTATACTTACAGCTGGTGAACTGCTGGACTGATTGTTACCAAACTTGATATGTACCCCTAGGGCTTCCTCCAAAGATTAACACATTTGACAAACCTATGTCAACCCCCAAGAGACCCTATGTCTTCCTCGTGCACAGCTGATAACTATTTAATGTAAGTACTACAACAACAACAAAAAAAAGCTAGAAGCTAACAACAGATTAGCATGCATACATTTCATCAGAATCTAAGGTAATGTGTCATAATTCAAATAGGTTTCTAGCAGAATTGTGAATCTATTAGAAAAAGTAGTTCTATACTTAATAATTTCATTATTAGATGCTCAGTCTGCCCTTGGCATAATTATGGCTACCTTCAGTATCACTTGAAGTTTTCCATAAGAGACAAACCTAACTGATGTTCACTAAAATTTTACGAATTAGAAAAATAATAATAATAATAATAATAATATATATGTGTGTGTGTGTGTGTGTGTGTGTGTGTGTGTGTGTGTGTGTGTGTGTGTGTGTGTGTGTGTGTGTGTGTGTGTGTGTGTGTATACGTACGTATATGTAAAACAGAAAATTTACTACAAAATGTATTAAATCTAATTTTCAGTTATATTCAACAATATTCTATACTTTATGAACCTATATTTCAAATCTTTTTTTGGGTCTACTAGATTGTAAGTAACAGAAAAATATTTCAATCTTAATTAACTTTTTATATGTAGGTGAAGTCACACAAGAAGAAAAAGTGAACACTAAATTAATCATGGTTTTCAATTGGTCCATTGCATTGTTTCAACCATTTATGCCTAGCACGCAAAGTGCATGTGATCAACACAGCCATGCTACTGTAACATGTGACTTACTTTTGTACAAGAAAAACAGCACTAAGTTGAGAAAGTAAATAAAAACTTTTATAAAATGGAAACCAAGAGGGCTTGAAAATAAAGTCTAAGATGAATTTTTATTGTGCATCACAAATAACTTAGGCAATGAATCCAGTGTTTTTCAAATTTCAATTCTTTTTACAAAATTCTGTTACTTTCAAAGCCTGAAAGAGAAATTTCATCATTTAATGGCTTTACAGTATTCCCATAGCCCATAAAAACCTTGAAATAAAATTGCTGGAACAAAAATGTCTTACTCTTTGTTTTGCATTTATGTTTGTTTAAGATTACAAATGAAAGTTATGCCAATATAGATGTTTCCACAAAACAAATGCTCAAAATTGGCCAGCACGTAATAAAATGGAATATTGGTATCTATCAGTTTTTGTTTTTCCATACCACCAGTCTATAAGTATAAGGATGAACACCCTTCAATTTGTTAAAAAGTTCAGAATGCTTACTTGTGATTTTTAGTTTCCTTTTTGTTTAGAGAAAACACGTTTTTCAACTGAATTTTCTTCATTTATTGGTAAATTTTAACATCAATTCACACCACTTGCTCCAAAGGTCAACTACTCTCTCTAACCTTTTACACCTGCTGCTTTTCATCTGTCTCCCATTTCTCTCCCTTCTAACCTAATAATACAGCACTGGCATTTGATAACACTTTGTCAGTTGCCAGTAACAAGCTTACAGTGAATTGTATTTTTGTAAATAGAATAAAATAATTACATCCCATTACTATTGTAATACTTTTTAAAATATGTAATAAAATTTAATAACTAAATTCAGCATCTTGAAATAGCCCGAATTTCTATCCCTTCCCCCTCACACACACACACAATTATTGCAATAAGACTTAAAATGTTCACAAATTTTGCCATTAATAAGGGTAAATCCCTTAATCTACCTAACGTATGTAAGCTAAATATAAAAAAAACATGTTTATGTATATAAAAGTATATTTATGACATCAGTAATACAGAGCAAGATGGTGATCACTGCTAATAAAAAAAAGAGAATACAATAATGAAAAATGTAACTCACTACTTACTTTCGAGAGAATAGGAACATAACCAGCTTGATGAAGAGGTACGTTAAACCATATTCCTCTGTTTCCATTTACCTGCCATTCTGAGAGGGAAGCTACCAAAATATTAATTGAATTATTTGCTTTTAGTAAATAAAATATCTGTGTAATATTGATATCACACCATCTCCTATACATTTTTGCTCAGGAAAAATATTTTTATGACTAAACTTAATCATGCAGCAAATCAGACTTTAAACCTCACAATAAAACTGCAGACTATTCAAACATCAATAAAAAGTGTAGGTTATTCATAAAATGTCAATTATTCTTTAACAACTAACACCTGAAGCTTATTCAACAACTTATATAACATAGAGACTATTCATTAACAAAACAGGTAAGTTATTAATCAATTTTTAAAAATATATACTTTTTTCTCAACAAACACATTATTTATTCATCAATAAACTACTTATACCATTATTCTATCAATATATACTGAGTTATTCATCAATAAAATATTTATTCTGTTACACTATAAATAAACATTGATTAAACAGGCCTGTGCTGGCTTTATTGTCTTGAAATTTTTACATGTTATACAGTAATTCTTGTACGCTGAAACCGAAAATGAAATCCATTGTTCTCTACCACGTACAGATTTTCACAAAACGTCATAATGCAATACACAAAAGAAAGAC